ACTAATATATTTTAAATAATAATTTAAATTTTCTTTAAATATAAAATATTAAAAACCATTTTTTTAATAATAAAAATAAAATTTTATTTTAATAAATTTTAATAAAATAAATATAATAAAAATTATATTATTATTTTTTTTTATAATTAAATAAATTATTAAATTTTTAAATATAAAAATTTATTTTTATTAATATAAAATTATTATTATAAAAAAAAAACTATTTATTAAAAAAAAATATAAATATTTATATATTAAATAATTTAGTTTTAAAAACAAAATTACTAAAAAAAAATATTATATTATACTTTAACTTTTATAATTATAATAATAAATTTATTAAATAAATACTTTTAAATAATTATAAAATTAAGATATTAATTAATATTAAGTTAATATAAATTATCGTTAATTTTAATTAATATATAAAAAAATTAATATAAATTAATATTAATTTATATTAATTTTAAAATATATAATTAAATATATAAATTTATATTTTTATATTTACTTAAATAGCTTAAATAACAAATTATTTATATAATAATTAAATTAAATTTAAATACTATGTTTATTAAATTATATAATATTAATAAAATAACTTTTATAATTAACTTAATTATTTTCCTAATATAAACCTAAAGCTTTAAGGTTTAACCCTTAAAAACAGCTAACTTATACTAATATATAAAACTCAATTTATTATATATTTTAGTTAAAAAAATACTTTACAATTTATTAAATTTTACTTTAATTCTATTATTTTAATTAATTAGGGTTAAGAGTATTTAATCCCCCAACCACAGTATCCCATGATTCATTCATCGCTCTATATTTAAGTCAGCAAAGCTCAAAGAGAACAGTTCCAGTTGCCTTACGTGCTAAATGTATTACTAACAAAATAGTCCGTGGAGACTTCCCACGCAGACTGTTTTAGCAGTACCTTGGCCTTTTCTTTTAATACCTCCTTCTGGGGCCTGATAAAACGCATAATAAAATTGCCTGCGCCCCCTGCAGCGAGGCTGTTTATAATTGCATCGCGAACGTATCTACCTGCATCAGCTTGTATGGTGGCTCGAACGGTTTTATCTTCGATAGTTCCCTCGGCGATATGCCTTTCGATTTCGATTGCAAGAGGAGTTAAGGCGGCGCCTGCTAGAGCTAGTGAAAGGGGGTTTACGGTGAAAATACTAATAATTAAACAACCTGTGAAGAGCATGGTAGCGCCTGACGCCTTGGAGAAAGCGCGAGCGGCGTGATCCTGTTATGACATGGGGTTAGACTAGTTATTAACTTCTTACACAGACGAGTCAGTGCGCTCAGGGGTTCGGTTTATAAACTCACCTCATTGCCGGTAATCCGATGGAGGTAAGCTGTGAAAAAGCCAATAAGTGGTAAGGGGTCTAGCAATCTGGCAAGAAGCCCGTCCCGGCCAAGTATTGGCCATCTATGAGTTTTGACAGAGTGATATTGTTAGAACCATACCCTGGGTGAGAAGAGCAAATTATACGCACTGTTCAGGCCAGTCAAGGCTACCATTAAGGTTTTCCAGACGCGTGGAAAGGTCAAACATAGACTCTACAATTTCTATCCCCCGCTGAGTCTGGCGGCCGTTTAAACGAGCACAAAGATAAGAATCGCGCAAAGTGAAACTCTGATTCCCGTTTGCGCCATGATGTAGAAATCCCCGACTACCTGGCTGAAGTTTACCGTTTTCCACTTCTAAGTGTTGGTTAAGGTCGATTGAGGATTCGTGTAGTAGGCCGTCTTTACCAAGACAGAGGGCCTTTAGGAATGACCCGTTTTCTAAGATGAAATTGCTGCAACTTAGTTGGACTTTTCGCGACCTAAATAAGAAAGATGAGAATAGGTTTTAATATGAGCTTGCGAAAACTGCTATTCAGAAATTACTCACGGGCGTATAAAGCTAACATTATGAGAATTGTCATCATAGAAGAGACAAAAGTCTAAGTTCAACTTCGCTTCTCGGTAATTTCCTTCTTCACCATACGGGAGCTTTGCGTAAAGCATTGGCCCTCTTATCATGACCATGTTGGCGTCACGGGAGAACTTGTTCCCGATAAGGGTAAATACGCCCTCACTGCACCCGATGTAATTATCAAGGTCGATTTCTTCGGGATCAGTTTTTCCCTTCAAAAATATTTGCAGGACATGGAGGCTATCGCGCGCCCTAAGGGGTTCTTTGAGCTTGATTGCGCATGCTTTGTGGCTAAACACCATCTTTGTCGTTGACCGAAGAGGTACCCGTAGCAGTTCTAGAGAGGCGAGCGATATCAAAACATCGAAATTCCTTTTGATTTCGAATATATCGTCTATATAGGTAGCTAATGCAGTCCTTGGGCATCCATTCAGGTAGCTAATTCAGTCCTTGGGTATCTATTCAGGCAGCAAATTCAGTCCTTGGGCATCCGTTTTAGATAATTGTCCATGCCCAATATCTACAACCTATGCGATAGTGATCTGGACTTGTTGCCTAATTGCCATCCGCATCAAGAAAGAACTCATTCGTGAGGTTGATAACAAAATCGACTAACCCGTGGATTCGTCAGGTACGTAATCATACTGCTGATTGGCGGGTTGGGGTCTGCTTTCTCATACCTTTCATAGGTCGGGTTAATGAACTATACGATTTAGACAGCAGCAAAACATTTCCCTCATCATCAGTTGGTGAATCAATTAATGCAAAATTATCACGAACTGGATGACAGTGGACAGTTACGCAGATTTTATGGGCCCGCCCGTTGATCGTTGTTTTATAGGTGAGTGTAGCCTGAGTACCCTGGGTTCCTACAGAGGGGCCATCATGGTTAATGTGGTTTCAATTTTCCAAGGCATAGCAAGGGATTATTACCTCCCTGATCAATTAGTGTATATTCCAGGCTGCGTGTCTTTGGCTGGATATCTCGATCGGGCGTTCTCTCAGGGTTCCACGTACCCGAGACTGTATGTATATTATCTCGGATGAGTCTTGTATTAAGACCATTCCAGATGTAAAAGGAAGACGAACAACCAGACATAATTTATAACGAGATTGTTCATGCAAAAAAATATAATTCAATATCTGCCTGCTCGACCCGGTCTGATTTTGGGATGTTGGCCAGAGTATTTTACTTAAGCCACTAAACCTCGTAAATAGACGGATCGGGGCCTAAACTTGCTTCGAATAGTCCGTATTTGAATTTCGGGCGCTGTCAGCAGCCAGAGCAACCGTATCCTAAGAAGTGCACAGCCTTATTGACTCCGCATAAATAAATGCCCAAGAACTGCATTAAGGACTGTGTTAGCTGCCTGAATGGATACCCAAGGACTGTGTTAGCTGCCTGAATGAATGCCCAAGGACTGTGTTAGCTGCCTGAATGGATGCCCAAGGACTGTGTTAGCTGCCTGAATGGATGCCCAAGGACTGTGTTAGCTGCCTGAATGGATGCCCAAGGATTGTGTTAGCTGCCTGAATGAATGCCCAAGGACTGTGTTAGCTACCTGGGTGCATCTGGGAAACATTCAAGGGCTTCTAGAATGGGGATATATGATTCCGTGACTTCCATCAGGGGGGTCTGGATGAACCTGAAAAAGAAAAAAAAAAGTAAAAACAAAACAGGATTATTAGTACAGTTGAGGTAAGCCTAGAACTGACGTGATTTTTTCTGCACAGCATGGCTTCAGACGTTGAAGCGCTTCGGCAAGGGAGTGAGATATTTAGATCGCTCAGTGTTACGGCAGACAGGTAAGCTACACGGCTCAGATGCTCAGATACTCATATGTGATATTGTGTTCATCGTGTCCAACGACACTCACTAATATTACGGTCAAAACAAAGCCCAGCTACGGGATCTGCTACCGAAACTATCGAGTACAGAATAGGCGTGTTTACCACACAAGCCCGAACTCCGGATAGTGCATTTATACCCTACGGTACTCTAAAATTAGGTACTAAGCAAGTCGCTGGAGCAACCTATTACGCGGTGCGACGATTCCCTCACTGTAAATTACGAAGGGTTACTGACGTTGGATAGGCATTTTTTCGGGGCCCTACGGTTATGGTTCACAACCAAAGAATCGCATCTGTGGAACACGAAATTTCCAGGTCGATCATGCTAATGTCGCATGAGAATGATAGCTCAAGGCTAGTCTTTAGGAAGGTTTCAGACCCTTACACTCAATTCACTTTCGAAATTACTATCGAGAATTTTGGGAGGAGCGATGCCCACTTCTTGGGGAGTCTTACTACGGATAGTGGTGAAACCTTCGATTGGGAAGGAACACAAGTTTCGTGGGATGAACGACAGGAAGAACAGGCGGAGATCAGCATCCATCGACCGGCCGACGCTCAAGGCACAATCCAGCAACTAATAAATATAAACCCGATTATCGACGGGGTGGATAGGCCGCGTGTTCTTGGGGATAAGGTGATGGGCAAGGTGAGTTCGCGGTGACTTCGGGTTGTCATTGTGCTGATAATCGTAGATCATGATGCATGCACTTGACGAGGAAACCAAAAGAATTTTCCTGCCGGATCTGGAAGCATTAACCGATGCAGAGCAGAAGATTCTGGAAGAGAACTCCGAGTTCCTCAATCGAGCTGGCATTCATGCGCTGTCAGAGCAGTTTCGAGAAATGAAGCAAGTCGGGGAGCGAATTCGAAAGGGGATTAAACCCAAGTACCAACTGTTCTTGGAGATGCTTACCACGCCGCCGCCTATGAATGGTGAGAGAGACCCTGCCCGGGACTATGGCTGGGATCGTGCCCAGTATCAGGACCAGATTAATCGGCTCCGAAAGCAGTACATTAATGTCGTGGCTGCTTGCTACCGAGAGGGGTATAAAGCCCACTGCTCGTTGTGGAACAAGTTCCTCAAGCATCCGGTGTACTGGTTCCGGGTATATGAAGATCATCTCAAGCGCAGGGAAAACATGGAGCAATGGCGGGCGATCGTCGCCAATTCGAATACCGAGAACGTGACTTCTCCTCACCAGGTACTCCAGACGTGGGCTAATAAACTGTCGATGCTGAAGAGCGAGGCCCCTGCTTCCGAAGCCAACACGCTGGATATTGAGGGGGTGATCAGAGTCTTCAATGAGGAAGCAAATGAGACTCAATTCGAGGCCCAAATTATCGACGATGCAATGGCCAGTAGGGTCCGTGAGGTTGGTTTCCAGTCGTCTTGCATGAAGGGTTTAGCAGTGTAGTTAACAGATCTCAGTTTACAGAACACATGCAGTCGACAGAGACCCCAGAATTTAGGCAAGCGTTTCAAAGTCGATCCCAGAGTTTTCACGACGCATACTATGTTGCAAGCCACGATGTGGTGACGGTCATCTCACGACTGGCGAATCATGATAGCCTTTACATTGAAGCTCAAAAGTACTGGTGTGCAAGGAATCCACCAGGCTTCAACGGCAAGTTGACGATAGCGCAAATGATCAAATATGTGGAACAGTCAGAGGAGGTTATCCCATTAACATTAACGTCTGAGAGGTCCTCGGTGTCGGAAACCTCGTCGGCCAACTCTTCTATCGGAGGAAGTACACTGACAGACAGATGCAAGCAAATTGCGAGGAGATGGAGCCAGAGTTTTGGGAGAGTGTTCAGAATTCTCCTTCATGTTGGGGCATTTTTCGGTTTATTGAAGCACTTCAGCTCACCAGAAACCTTGAGCCACGCTGAACTCGGTCGTACCATATGCGCTTTCACTGCAGAAATTATAAATGCCGTCGGATTCATTGGCAAACGGGTCTTGAGTAAAATGTGGACCAAGGGACGAATTTACCATAATGCTCTACGCTGGTTCAGTGATGCATTACAAGGCCTTGGCTCCAACCTGAGAAGAAGGTAGGTTGCCCCCCTATTGTAGATCGCGATTATCAACTTACTGGCGGTTCTAGAACCACCAATGCAATGATTGGCAGCGTTGGAAACCTCGTCCGTACTGTGTGTAAGCCTAACTTCAACTCCTATCCACTGAGCCGTGAGGATGCTAATAACGGAGGACAGGTATAATCGGGTGTATCTTTGAACTGTATACTTCTTTCTGGGAATTACACAGCGCCTGCTATTCGACAATTCCCGACCAGTTTGTCCGTATCGCTTATGCGGGCTTCAAGTTTGCGCTTACTTGCATCGAAACAGCGGCAATCGGGCTTGGAATTGGTGCCGAAATCCTGGGACACGTTACCCTCGCGGCTGTCTGCGGTTATGTTGGAATTGGTCTGTTACACAACATATAAATCCCAACAAAAGTAATGTTACTAATCGTTACCCCTCTAGCCATTGCATTGGTTGGTATCGTTGCTGGGATCGCGTACATTACCTGGGGCCCACAGCCAGATACACCAGTGGAAAAATTCCTAAACGACCACTTGAGAGACATTGGAGGATATTTACCTGAGGCAGAACCAGAACCAGTGAAAGAATGGTTAGAAGATTTATGGAAGGAATTAAAAAAGCCTGCACAATTTCCTTTAGGTAATTAATTTACTTTTATATAATAAACTAGGTTTAATATATATTATAGAATTAATTATTTTAAAAAGTTAAACTTTTAGGTTTTAATATAATAAATTATATTTTTATAATACTTTAAATATTTAAAAAAAAATTTAATAATTTTTATTAAAATTTAAATTTAAAAAAGTTAATAAAAAAATAAAAAATATTTTAATTAATAATATTAATTATATATTTATAATATATTAATTACTATTTTTAATATATTTATAGTTTACATTAAGTTAAAGCTAAGTTAAATACTTAAGAAAACTTAAATATTTTTTTTTTAATTTAAAATTTAAAAAAATATTTTAAAAATAATAATTAAATAAAAATAAATAATATATATATTAATAAATTTTTTATATTTTTATAAATTTAAATTAAATTTTTATTTATATATATTTTTATTTATTATTATTATTATTATTATTATTTATTATTTTATTTTTTTATTTTTTTAATTTTTTATTTAATTTTAATTTAATTTAACTTTAGCTTAACTTAATTTACTTTAACTATTTATCCTTACCTTATACCTTTATAATACCTTAGACCTTTACTTTATACTTTTATAATTTTTTTTTTATTTATTATTTTAATTTATTATAT